GAGTAAGAACATAAGAAAGTTTTTAAAATGAAAGGAGGCCCATCTAACCCATTTTATTGCTAATTGTTCCAAAGATCTCATTTTCTCTTCAACATCATGGCCGGGCAGCTTGTTGTACAGTATGCTCTCACAACTAATAAAGGCGTATCCTGTATTTGAATTGAGCTAATCAAACAACATTGATTTTTCCCAAGGAAGGGAGCTGAAGTTGTTGAACTTTTTTCATTCCAGTTCTTTGGTATTGACTTTATCAACAATATATACATTTAAACGCCTGCTAACATTTACCAGCTCTTATCTCGAGGGTTTTCATTCGGTTCGTCTGGAACTGGTCCTGTGTTGCAGAACCGCAGAGGGAGACTCATTGTTGTCATTGCTGGGCGTCCCAGGAGTTTCTGCATTCCGGATTCCGGTGCTATTTCTGTGCCCTCTGTGAGGCTGTGCCTCTGAAATTGCAGTGCGCTGTGCCTTGCCCTCTTTGTCCGTTGCTGCCCGCCCACAGTGAGAGCCGGGATCTCACATGTCCCCGCGGGGCTCTGAGGCAGGGGGCGCAGGGAGAGGCAAGACCCTCCCACTCCTCGTGGCCCGAGCGCTTTTGCACTCATTTTCGCAGGAGCGAGTGTGATTTATGCCGCAGTGTAATTCAATCGCAGGTCATGAAGATCCCGGAGTCTGCTTCACGGTCTTTTTTTATGCAGGTCTCTGAGCACAAGCACTCCCTGCTGTCAGACTGCCTGGACCACTGCGGCACTAGAAAGAAACACACTGTAGACCATGGGATTAGAGTTTTCAAACAAGTAAAGTGGCTCATAAATGGAAGCCGAGGGTCACATTGATGGTAAGAGACAATTCTGAGATGGCAGTATGGCAACATGTTTTGTCTTTGTGAGGTTGTGCATCCAGCTGTGGGATTGGCAGCTATTTCTGTGGCTTTAAAAAAAAGATGACTGAGTTTCGTGTCAGCCGGACAAATGTATTGTTTTGTGGCATGATATGTTTTGACAAACAGTCACAAAATTGCAAATTGAAAGATGTTGAACGCTGTTTTAACCTGACCTCTGGCCAAGACTGCATTGTTAGAGATCATTTGAAAAGGATGTTCTGTTGTTGAACAATCTGCAGTGTGAACAATATTCAGAAAACCCGTTAAGAATATTGAATTGTCCTAGGAGAGATAGCAGTAATGTCACCTTCTGACACTGACGATTGATGTATTTAATTGCAAACAGAATACAGCATGTGTGCAAGACGCAGAGAATTTCAAATTTAAGCCTCAGCTTTCAGGCTGATTACTGTAGATCCTTTGTTATTTTGCAGTGTTGTGTTAAGGTGCAACCACAGCAAGTGAGTTAATGCCAGTGTGCAAAGATTTGTCAGTAAAAGAACAAGTCGCATTTGTGCCCAAGTTTGAATCAGGTATGAAGTTAAAGAGCCGAAGGTTATGGAAAAGTAAGTGTTGCCCCTTACGTACTGTACTGTATCTATAGTGGAAGTGCTACAATGGACAATTTAATGTTCTGAAAAATTAATGCTTTTCTTGGTGAACAAAGAATTACAAAAATAATAATTCTGAAAGTGAATAATAATTTAATAATAATTAAAAATAAGTCATTGTGCTATGTGAAAAGGTTACAGGGCACCTGTGTGATGTTAATCCTCTTTCCCAGCTTACTTCCTTCTCAGTTAGCCTTGAGATTCCTTTTCTGACTCCACAACGGCCAGAAGGAAGCATTAGAAAAGACCGATACCAATTAAAGCAGAGGCTTAGCACATGACGATCTGTTGACGTTCAGGATTTTAAGAAGATTGTGCAGAAATAGTAACTGATGGTGTGGGCATTCAGGTTTGCAGAAACCAATATGCATATCCACAATGTATTCCAATGGCAAAACAACAACAACAACAATAATGGTTGAGAATAAATATATGTCTAAGAAAGCCACTAAAGACTTGTGTTGAAATGGTGAAGCCTATATACAGTACTATCTGTTGAAAACCGGCAGTAGCAGCTGCCTGTCAAAACCTAGAATTCAGAATAGAAATTGTTTAAATACAGTAAAAGAGTAACTGGGGTGGCATGGTGCCACAGGAGTTCATGTTGTTGCCTCGCTGTCCTGGGGTTCTGAGTTTAATTCTGGACTTGGTGTGCCATCTGGGTGGAGCTTGTATGTTCTCCTGTCATTTGTGTGCGTCTCCTTCGGATGCGCGGTTCTCCCTACCACAGTCCAGAGACCTGCTGGAAGGTCAATTGGTGTCTGAGAAAATTGGCCCTGGTGTGAGCGTGTGCCAGTCTGTGTCTCTCTGCCCCGGGATGGACTGATATCCCATCCAGTGTGTATCACGCCTTGCCCTCACTGCATGCTGGGATAGGTTCCGGCTCCCCCGCGGCCCTGCACTGGGCGAAGCAGTCATGATAGAGAACCACGCTTCATCAAGAGGAAAGCAGGAACACGGGTGGGACAGGTTTCCCTGCTGTTCAGTGATTCCAAAGCGGGTTGTGCTTTGATAACCTGTTGTGGAACAATACAGCTTCTCAGAGGACTCCTTTGTGTTAATTGCTAGGAAGTGCATAGATAAAGGAGAGGGCTGTGAAAGGCTGTTGAGTCAGCCCTGGAGTACCCCCTCCTGCTGTCTGAGGGGCTCTTCTGAGGCCTCGCTGCGATGACACGTTTGAGCAGCCTGCTGTGATTCCCTTATCTACAGACACAGGATGCACTGCGGGAGAGGTCGGATTCAGGGAAATGATAGCTGTCTAAAAGAGTTGGCTTGGTAGTTTTACTTCCAGGTGTGACCAAAATTAAATACTAACTGCGTTTTCATGAAGGCAAGCACTCCCAGGCTGAATTTGTTCGCCTGGGGTTAACATTGTAAATTGGTAAGGTGTTTTTTTTTTCTTCCCTTACCTTTTTAAGAATTATATCAGTTAAGAGATATGGCTTGAGGTTTGCCGAACGGAGCCGATGTCTGAGGGGCTGGAGTCTCGCTGCTGCTCCATTGAGCTTTCTGTTCACTCCATAGTTTCCTGTGGGCTGTTTGCTCACTTTAACGCTCCCTCCTGTGTGCTGGAATGTCTTGATGGATCAATGCCTGGGAGCAGTGTGCGATAATTAAATTACAGTTTCTGTACAATACAAGTTAATGGAGCCTAACGAGACCCATCAGAAAACAGACAGGGTTTACCGAGATCTCTTCACAAAAGAAATAGAAAGGCTGTTTACATCGAAGAGTGGAAAGTGTGTTCGCTGGTTTGACCATTAACCGTGCGTCTCGCACTGTGTGCCTGCACAATTATCATTATCCCCTCTCAACAGTGTTGTGCAACTTACTCTTCATGTAGATGGGCTTCACTCCACCCCTGGCATCCATTCCAGTCTGAGAGAGGTATAAAAACCAACAAAGGATTCATTACTGTAATTGAAATTCAGCTTGGCCTGCTTCTGCGTGATCTTATGCGGGGACTTGTCAGAAGCTCATCCGTACAGTGCGTGCTGTATGCAGGGCTGTATCCTTGCTACAAGTCAGTGTGAAAACATTTTCCCTGTCAACTGAGTCACTGCTTCGGGATCTAAAAATAGGCATGGCAGAGTGAGTACCAGACAGTGCTATTAGACACGTCTTGTCATTTACATGAAACCCTGGCGAAGAGCGTGTGTCGTGCCATTACTTCCGCAGAGATGAAATTGAAAGCGTGGTGATGTCCTGTCTTTTTCAGCACGTTGGTTTTTAATCGTGTTGGTTGCTGTGGTTTCCCTTTTGTCCTCATCCTTCAGTTGTGTAAGGGCTAATTCCAGAGACCATTCAGTCTGGGGAAGGTGGTTCAAGGAATGCTGTTGATCTGGAGACTCTAGACTCTAGAGAATCAGATCTAGATGTCTACAGGTACCATCTACATGGTTTGTGACTTAGTCTTAAAGGAAGTTGGCACTGACATTTCTAGACCTCACAGAATGGATGCAGTCCCTGTCTTTTTCACAAAGCACTATATGTCCATTACTAAAAACCTTTCTCTAGTAACATAGCAAGGCACAAAAATGTGACTCGATGGAGTAAATAATGTAGACTAAACATGGTCCTTCTGAGCCCTGAACCATTAGGTCTTATAGGTCATCCTAAATCATTTATTTCTAAACATAGGAAGTCCTATATAGGAAATCTGTGAAAACAAATTTGAAAATCGTTCTCCATCTGTCCATTAATAATCCTCAACCAGCCTGACAGCCTGCTCTGTGCTGGGGTATAGAGTTGGTTGGCTGATCCAGATACACTTACAGTAGTAGTTTCTTTCGAAGGCCTTTTCGCCTGGCATTGGCTTTCCAGTTTTCTTTTTTTGTGTTTTTACCCTTTTTAAGCACAACTGTAATGTTAAAATCTCACGGTAATGAGAACTGTGAAACACACACCATGTCAGTCCGCATGTTCCTGTAGGCGCAACACTGGGAGGTCCTCATCCACTCTAAAAAGTAGGTCTCAGTTGCATACATGACAGTGATGCAATTTCTGTTTTCCAAGTCCCAAAAAAATACAGTGCAAGACCTCTCCTCATCTATCCCCCTCCACGCCGGTAGTCCCGGACTGCGAGGCAGCGGTGCGGGCCCCTGCGCCACCATCTCGTTGTGTCCTAATGAATGCTATCGAAATGTGTCCCACAAGAGGGAAAGCTGTTGTCAGCCTGGTGTCACATGAGCGTTCTTCTTGTGCACACTCCTTGTCCCTTTTAAGAAGACGCTAGCGTGGCGAATGGACACCGTAAAGGAAACAGAAGATACTGTCTTCTTACATATGGCTGTGTACACCACAAACACAGTAAACAGGACAGGAAGTCCGTATGCCCAGTTTACCCAGCATGGCTTTCTGGACTCCAATCCCAGTAAACACAGTCGTACTGAAGTGCTTGAATAAAAGGACCATTTGAGTCAAACGGTTATAAAGACAAGCCAGAAGGGACGCTCCTCCTCCCCAGTCCAGCGGCTGACTGCGCCTTGTCCCCCTCTCTGTTCCAGATGACTCTGGGGACGAGGAGCCTGCCTCCCCGTCGGACAGGAGCGAGACCCACAGCACGCTGAAGACCCTCGCCAGCAAGCTCGACGACCTGAGCACGTGCAACGACCTGATCGCCAAGCACGGGGCGGCGCTGCAGCGGTCGCTGAGCGAGCTCGAGAGCCTCAAGGTGCCGGCGGAGGGCGGGGAGAAGATCAAGGCCGTGAACGAGCGCGCCACTCTCTTCAGGATCACTTCCAATGCTATGATCAATGTGAGTGCACAGCGCCCGCTCCTGTGAGTCCTCTGTATCTGTTCCTGGGGTTCTTTAATACTGCTGATACTGACATTCCATGTATTTCAAATCAAGCTGCTACGGGTCTAAATAAATTGCAGCCACGTGTTCTGTCTTCACTAACACTAACTGTGGAGAATGCACGCACCACATGTTAGCATAGAGAATTGTTCATCAGCAGTCTGGTTTCTTACTAATTCTTTGTGCACTGCTTGTCCTGTTACAAATGAAATGTATTGAACTTTTGGAAAAAAACTGTAACAACTGCAGTCAGCCGTCTTCCCTTAGTTCACCAGCTCATGCCAAATTAATCCTGATTTAGTACGTATTGAGCAGCTTTTCATGGTAAGTACAGTACTTTTTGTAGAAGACATTTTCAGGGTTGTGCCCCAGGGGCCTGATGATTAGGTACTCCTGCCAGGATTCTGCATGTGTTTTTCAGCACCGGTTTGCTGCTGAACCAGTGAAAAGGGGGCAGAGTTAAGAAAGCAAGCTCTGCCCTTATTTTGGGGAAAAACAAACCCCCCAGACAGTCTGAAAAGTAATTGCAAATGAAACCCTAGGAAAAATGGATTTCAGGCTGGTAGGCCAACAAACGTGATACTTTGGAAAGAGTATGTAGACTTACTGTGCTATAAACACTGTATAGAAATACAGGAAGGATGCAAAGATGCTGATTCATAAGCTACAGTTGTAGCTCCTTATTTGCAGATGTGGCTGACAACAGACTTAAAAGGTTCGGCTTGTTCAGCTTGTCTGACAACATCACCCCAGAGTGAAGCTCTGAGCACAGCTTCCCTGTTTCAAATGAACTTTGAAGTGACTTCAGTAACGTGCTGTATGAAGCCACTGGTGTGACAGGGCCCTCCTGAGTTCAGCATCGGCTCTTTTCTGCTTGTACCCAGATATGACAATTAGCTACTGTACCTGTAGCTGGAATCAGCTTTTAGCTGCGACACTTATGCTAACCACCCAGGTTAGCATAAGAAATGTTAAAGTGCTTTAGTTTGGACCCTGTAGTTGATTTGCATTTCCTATTATTTTTTTATTTTTATTTTCTACTGTGTTCTTAAATGGTTTTGGTACGAAGGCCACTAGTAATAAATTTGTATAATATTGACTCCAGTCTTATTCAGAATGTAAGGATATTAAACACAGAATACTGATTACTTATGTGCACTTTTTATGTTAAGATGGTTTTGAAATGTACAGTACAGTAGCAGTGAATATTAAAAAATATTAGGGGCTCTAAAGAAGACGCATGTAGAATAACTACGTGGGCAAGTGACAAAGCAGGAATTGTCAGGGAATGATGTTGCTCTAAAATTTGATAAAAATTCAAATTATAGTTGCATGCCTAGCACTGCATTTCACTCCGTAGTGCTGTCTAATTTTAATCTGCGCACGGTGTCATGAAATGTGCCGGCTATATTTAAACCTGTAGCTAGATGACATCCAACAAATATAAAATCATTTGATCACTCCCACATCCACACGTTAGCGACAGAAGCAGAGACATACAGTACTGTAGTTAGTCCCTGCACTTTTCACAGACCCAAGAATTACAGCACACCCTGTGTTTTACTGTACAGGGTACTTGCAATGTTAAGTGGCCTTTTCAGAAAGCTTTTTAAATAGAAACTGAGTAATGGTATGTTACACTTGTACAAATGGGACCATGGGCAAGGCCGTCCTATAGATAACCACAGTGGCCTCTGTCAGTAGAAGCTCTGCCCATCAGACCCTGCAGCTCGTGCTGTAGCAGCCTCTGGTGTGTAGTGTCCTTGTCAGTGGCAGTGTCTCGCCCATGATCCCTTTTGTACAGTATGTGCAGCAAGTATTTTTACTCCATAGTGCACTTTTCATGATATTCTGTACTTCTACATACAGGTCAACGAATTTCATTATTACATATGGCACATGCACCCTGAGAGGTTTAAAAGCATTTGCCCAAGAAATTCCTGTTTGAAATATATATATATATTATTCAGTGCAGATTCTTTGATGAGTTAAAACTGAAATTAGGGTTAGGGTTCCACTTCCTCTGAAACAAGGTAAATTGCACAAATTCAGTCTAAAGACTTTATATCTGATTATTACCTAAGACCCAGCCCCCTAAAAGACTTTTAAGGAATTTTTCAATAAATTCCTGCTTGAAATGAATTTCAGTGTTGTGCGCAGCGCAGCTTCTTGAATAGGTAAAACTGAAATAAGGGCTAGGGTTACACTTCCTCTGAGACATGGCTTGCTGATAGTGATAAATCTGCATTTTGAATGTGAATAGAAATATAGTATTAGTGGTGTTTTGCTCTTAACTACACATTTTGTAAAAGTTGTCACTTGGGGAACTTATGTAATGTGTCTCCCATAGGTGAGACCCTAGATTTTACTATGATAAAAAAAAATATAAATATTTGATGCCTTGAGGAATATAACCATAACTTTGATTGAAGTCAAAGCATTACGGTTTTTCTAACCCTAACTGGGCACTTCCTCTAACCCTAGAATCTGTGCCCATTGAACACTGGTTGGTATTACAAACCAAAATGTCAGCAAGAGTTGCACAAATTCAGTCTTGAAATATTAAATATACTGTACGTCAGCCATTAGAGCGCATGGCTACGTCTGCATGTGTTGCATATCAATAAAACCCACTCTTGAAGCCGAATGTGATAAATATAAACTAGGCAGAAACATCTGTTATTAAAAAAAATAAAACGCAGAAAGGTTGGTCTGATCTGTAGAGTCATGGGTCTACTAGTATGTTGTGTGTAGGTGGATTATAGTTTGCACTTTTATGTCCTCGTGCTAAGAGTAGTACAGTAGTACATGTCCTGCTGCTGTATGCTGAATGTGACAAAACAAAGCTGCAGTTTTAGGACAGTACTCCTGGGCAACAGAACTGCTGCAGACAGCCTTCAAGGCATTTACACAATGGGTGCAGGACTTGTGGGTGGGGTGTGGAGCGAATGTCTTGAGTGATGAGCTTGCCAGGCCTTTTTCTATGACAACAGGAGCTCCGGGGGCCCCTGGGTTTTGAAATCTTCGTCCTGTTCTGTGCAGCTCTTCTGTGGGTGAAAAGTAAATTTTGCACTTTGGAGAAACTGCCAGTAAGGCACACACAAATCACAAACTGGGTCGTGAAGACAACTCTTCGCCTGTCTCCGTGTGATAAACTCTGTTCCAGAAAGAATGAGCAGCACCGAATCTCATTCACACAGGAAGCTGCTGTCTGAAGGGCAGAAACACAATCCTGTTGGGCAGATGTGCTGTGCTTGATGAATGAGGGATACCCGATCGGTCTATCTACGGGACAGAAATAGAAAATCCCTGCATGTCCTGTGGAATGGCTCTCCATAATCTCACCTTACAAATTTGCTCTTAAAAGGCCAGACTTTCCAAAGCTTATCCGTGACTTTCCAATTAAGAAGTCCAATTTTGATACAATTGATATATTTTTCCTTTCGATACATTTTTTCTAAACTGATATGGTTTAAATACACTTTTCTTTTTCCAAACTGATATGATTTTTATTTATTACCATGACAGTTACACTTTACTTGAACAAGGCTAACTAAACACAGCCATCACTCGCTTATTAGCATTTAAGAACACCATTTAACATCTAACCTAATGTGACAAATGGCACTACAGGCATGTGATCATTCGTATCATTTCACAAAACATGGTTCCAGGTGAAAGCGAAGAGCAAAATGCCAGGTAGAGAGAAGTCAGATGAAAATGATGGAAGACACCATCTGGATTTTCAACAGCTGCACCTCAGTAACTGCAGTCCTGTAATGTTTATCTGAAATTTTATTTTTCTCTATGTTTTATATTGTTATTTTGCTTGTTGTTTTATTGTGCTGTGCAGCGTTTATGAAGGAGTTCTGATGGTATCTGTTCTTCTAATAAAATCCAGAACCTTCAGTGAACTTCAGCCTGATTCACACAGAAGTCCTGATACAGAACAGCTTTGGAGACCCGCTCATAAACTGATGGCAATTCTTGAGTAGTTATACAGTACCAGTCTCCAGCAAAAGCATCTTAAATTAAACCTTTTGTATTTTAGAAGAAGGTGATCATCTATCTGAAGAATAAACAGCCATTTCAGAAATGTGTTCCTTCAGATGACATAGTCTCACAGCTCTAAAGTTTGAGGAAGTGCATGACGTGCACTGTAACATCTAGAGTGTACAGTTTTCTCAAGAGACAGCAGGGTGCGTCCACTCAGTACTGATGCAGATGGGTAAGAGAAAAAAGGTTTTGCTTTTCTCTGTTCTTCCTCACTAAAGAACAAATTAATTATAACCTTGTTTTATTGTAACTGGCTTCCTGCAGTAAATAAGCCAGTGTACAACTGCTGACAAACCAGCTGCTGGACAGAGCTGGCTGCCGCTGAGACTTCATCATGATGGTTTTGATAGAGCAGCAGAGCTGACAGGTTTGGAGTTTTGTCCTTGCTCTGTAGCAGACCGAAAACGCGCACACTGCCATCCTGTAGTTACAAAAGGACCTGGCGATGGAGAAACTGCAGTGGTCTTTTGGTGATGTGTCGGAATTTGCTTAAATGTTTTCCTGCTGTTCTTTGCTTGGTTGTTTATACACATGAAAGCTGGGGAATGCAAATTAGTTGAGATCTCTGTAGGAAGAGAGCTGTTGGTCAGTCAGGGCAAAATAAGCTGGTGTGTACATGTGCCTGGTTTGTTACCACTACATATTAGGGTTGGAAGACAAGGCAATTATTTTGATTATTGGAATATTTTTCTATCGACTGCCGTATCAACTGCACTTTAGTTAAGCTCTTGAGAGCCTTCACGGCTCCTGAGCATGTGTTTGAAACTACAGTGCGTGCCGGCAGAGGAAAGGTTTACATCACTTGGCATTCGAGACTTCAACGTAAACCACAAACCGTTATTGCAGCTGAAGCAAACTGTGAATGAGATGTCCCGGGGTAGTACAGAAGTCAGTTGCTCCCAAATCCCAACCCCTCCTTCTGAAAATAAAAGAGGAAGGATTTCACTTTGGCTCACTCTGTGCAACTGTTTTAAAAGCAATCTGGATAACATCTAATGTAACTTTATGATGTTTATAAAATGTCTAAAGAGCTCCTGCTTTGATACAGTAGATCACATTTAATTAGCTAGCAGACTTTTACAAATGTGGACAATTTTTGAGAAATACCTGTGTGATAGTTTTATTACCTTCTTATTTTGTTGAAGGAAAGTTATTGTCTTCTAACATTTTTAACTCCCAAGTAGAAATTAAACTTTTCAAATAGATGTATCAATCTCAGTAATATGCTTTACAGCAAACATCTCCCTGATCTGGTTAATAACTGAACAGATCTGAGAGCTTTTTTTGCTTAAGCATATTCAAGACCTGTGAGACGGGGACTACACTGTGCACAGTAGCATATAGTATCCTTCACACTTGAACATCTTTTGTCTTTGATATTTTTAACCACAGGACTTTGGCAAACTACAAAGACAGCCCTGGAATGCACACAAAATGTAAATGACCATGTTACAAAAATAGTACTGACACTAAAAAGAGTGGTAATGAAAAACCTGGAAAAAGCACGATTTATTTTAGGTCTAATATACATTGATAGCATTTAACTGGATATTGACGAATCCTGGAGAACTGGAGTTAAAGATTAGATCAGACAGACTCTTTGAAGTATACAGTAAACCACTTTTTTTCCTGCTACTACTGTTTTGTTCTGCCGCAAAAAGCTACTGTAAGTTTGCACAAAAAAAAAAACTGATTTCATTCCAATATGTGAAGGCCTAAATACAACTTTACCTGAGTTGCCTCATGTTGTGGGTAAAAGAATTTAGTTCTTTCAATTTTGTGGTGCAGTACGTTCTTCTGTCTTGGCTGTCCTCCTCTTAAACAGCCCTGAGGCACCTACTGTATGATAATCACGGCGCATGTAGCAAACGTTCAGTAAAGGTCTTGCAGTTTGACTTCAAAGTTGTGAAACATTGCTATTTCTAAAGAGAACAAGCCTTGTGAAAACTTAGTGCTTCTAATTGTACTAAAAGGAGAAAGAAAATGGGCATTACCTCTGCCTGTCAGCTTTAGCCAATGTCTTGCCAATCTGGTGTCTTAGCAGATAAGAGGATTTTAGCAGTTGGGACCCATCCATTTTCTGACCACTTTATCCAGCACAGGGTCACAGGGGCGCCAGAGCCTATCCCAGCAGGCAGCGGGGCAAGACAGTGTACACAGGGCACAAACAGAGACACCCCCAGACACCTGGGGCGGTTTCCCCAGAGGCCAGTTAACGGGCCGGTACTGCATATCTTTGGAGAGTGGGAGGAAGGCCAAGAGAATGCTATGCTTACCACTGCACCACCATGCCACCCATCCACAGGGCTTTTATTTTGTGTCTGGTGCCTGGTTCTATACAGTATCTGTTAGAAGCTATTGAAAAGGAGATTTAATTTCCCTTTTTTAATCACATCAGGTGTTCATGTCGAGCTGTTGCAGTAGAGAAGCTGCGTGTGGGGAGGAGGTGTTGCAGGGGAGCAGTTTGGCATCACGCCCTGCTCTTGAGCGCCAGGCCCACCCGCTGCCTCGGCCTCCGTCCCGTCGGTCCAGCTAGAGGAGTCTCCTCAAGTGCTCGTGTGGTGCACCTGGAGCAGCGCAGCTGCTCATTGTAGACCGGTCTCAACGCCTGTGGGCAGGAAAACAGCAAAGCAAACCAACCTAACGGAGAGCTGGAAAAGCAGAAGGGATTGCTGCTCTGCTTAGGCTCGGCAGCGCAGGCTGACAGATGGCTGACAGTCCGTCCTTGACCTGCCCCCTCCAAGCCATTTCCTTTTTCCCACTACAGGTCTTGTGTCGTAGTCTAATGAGAATTCAAGCACAGATCCACTAGAGAGACGGGTAGTGAATAGATACCAGACACTAGGAAAGGTGTGTGATCTGTACTACTTTGGAAGCAATAATGAATGAACTGGAAGAGTGCCACAAGGCATGACTAAAGGGAGCTTTGCTAACAGCTTAGAAAGCAAGAAGTTAATGACGAAAAGAGGCTTATCAGTGCTCATCGCTGTTCTGGCACCAAGGCATTTTATTACAGTTTAGCTCTGTCATGTCTCTGCCTCCACCACGTACAGCATCCACATGACCTAGTCTACGCCTTGATCATTCTCCACCTCCGGGGTCGGCCGTCCTTGCTCTCGTCTCCTGACTGAGAAATCTGTGACAGCTGGTTACACAGCTCTGATCTCCTGATTGAGAAAAAAGCCACCTTACAGTGCGCACATGCGCACGCACACAGTTCACCCCCACCTGCTGCTCCGCACACACAGGCTAGCGCCACCTGCAGGGACAGGCCTGCCGTCTGCAGCTCTCCCCTTCTCATGGTCTTTGACTCCACACCGTGAGGAACAGAAGAACGCGCTGGTCGTGCAGGTGCAGATCTCCATTTCTGCACAGGGAGGAGGTTTAAGCAACACAGAAACAAGGAAAAGGTAATAAAGCGCTTGTGAAATTGTAAAGATTGTAAATTTCACCAGGCCTGTGGATTATCTTATTGAGTACTGTTTGTATAATCGTATCCATTTCCTTTTTATATTTAAGTTGTAAACATTCTGTTGGATCTAGTGTTGATCTGCTGGTTGAATGATCCTGTTCTGAGAAATTAAGGAGTTTCTCTTTTAGAAATTCAGGCACTGTTTTGGCCCCGCTGTGTGGGCGTGAGCTCGTGTCCGTGCCCTGCGAGGGAACAGCATCCCGTTCAGGGCCTATCCTGCCTCCTGCTCCGTTGCTTGCCGAATCTGAAGGAGTTAGGAAATGAATGGATGGAGTAACTTCCTCTTTTAGTAACGCTGAAGGAAAAAAAATTAAGATTCATAAAAAAAAAACCCCGAAAAAGCTTGTCCGTGCGGGATGCTGAAATTGTTTGGCTCCAGCAGCTCGTTGTGACTCACTCAGTTTAACCGGAAAGACAGGCAGATAATCCCCCCCAGAGAGGGGGGGCGGCTCTGCCCTCCTCCCACTGGTGACGTCGGACTGGCTAGAAGCTCGGCTCTTCACTCACACTCCGCCTGCTGGGTGTCAGTCTTCTGGCACTGGAGGTCAAGCAATGACAGTAGCACGACAATGGCAAAGGCCGTCCCGTCACCTTGGCAGTGCTGTGGCACGTGTCAGATGTACCGACTGTCCTCAGTCCTTCTCGCAGTGCTCCTTCTTGTTTGGGTGTTATCAGTAGCTTTATCATCCATTTATTTGAACACAATTTACTGTAGGAGCTGTCTCTTCGAAGCGTGCTTGAGGGTTTCACTGCGTTCGTATTTCCTCTCATAGCAATAAGCAGCCAAAGCTTGAAAATAAAGTGAGAATCTCTAAGGTGATAGATGTGGTGATATGAAACTTGTGAGAGAGATTGCTGTTCTGCTGTTCAGTGAAATCGTTGCCACATGTTCTACACATTACCTAATCTATACAGTATAATATTTATAGTAATTTCTACTCACATTACCTCATTTTCATCATTAAATTCGTTCCAAAACCAATAACATTTTAAATTAAAGGCGGTGTGGATTTGAAACATGTAAATTGATGTGACATTATCCAGTCAGAAAGGCATTAATACATTTCTTCATGGTTTATATCATCTACAGGAAATGAACTGACGTCAAAAATGACAGGCCTGCAAGCATGTAAATTTGTGTTTAAATTTGACATTAGAGGTCATTATATTGCAGGCTCCAATGGCATAACAAGTCAGCTCACTATAAATTGCATTGCATTTAGATTTAAGGACAGACTCTTTTTTTTCCACTAAAATGCTGAAGGAAACTGAGCTTTGGAAACCTTCTGCTATTCGGTGCACGTTCAAAGTGATCTTAAACTTTCTCCGTCTCATTTTATATATAAGCTTCAGATTAAGTTTGCTGCAAAAAGCTGGAACTCTTGACAAAAGGCATTTCTGTCAAAACATCGGGTCTTTGTTTCAGTTTTTTTTTATCTTGGAACCTAATTCTACAAAATTGAATATAGCTGACTGATAGATGTGCAAGGTGCAATGTATATTTCTGCCGGTTGCAGAAAGTGCAAGGTGATGTTTAGATTTTAGTTCGGGAGAAAAGGTTCGATATACTCTGCACTCCCCCATGTGGACTGTACGTGTGCACTGGGAGACCTGTGCTGACTGGTGACTTGGTGAAACTGTACAATGTGATCCCAGATTGTTTTTTTTTAACTGTAGAAATTGTTTTTAGTTTCATCTGATGTAAGTGACATGAAGTTCTATGTATTCACTATGTGCTGCCCTATCAAAACAGGAGAGAATATCTCTAATAGTGGGTCGTTCCCCTCCATCATTGTCTGCAACATATCAGAGCATTGAAAACACTACAGAAGTTCACAGAAGTGATAAGAGACTGATCAGTGATCTCAAAAGATAAGAGGAAGTGTCCCCTAAGTTCAGAAGCTTGTTTTCTTCATCTCTCTCCTTCGCCTACTGTATAATATTTTCTTTCTTTTCCTACTTGTGAAAATGCAATTAAGACAAAGAGCAATTGGCAACCTGTTCTGTCTAATTTGTCGTTGCCTGGTTGAACCACAGAACTCAAGGTCACCAACGTTTGAAATATTTCAGAAATAATTGTTTTTTTAATGAATTCCCAAACTTCTTGTCATAAAACTAACACTGGGGAGCTACAGTATACGAGGCTGCACTGAAATATCAGGACTATATAGTATATGCTTTGTTTCTTAACATTGAGGCCCTTGGGGCAAAGTTAGCTGGTCAAGCAATTCTCAGTGTCCACTGTAACCTTTTACTAGACACAGGCAGATGAATTAAAGGAAAGGAGTTGGTGCCTTTCAAAACTTAGAATTGGAATCACTCCTGCCTCCATACTTTTTGCCCATTTCTTCTGATCCCTAAATAAACTCTTAAAAGGTGTTCCCGTGACGCAGTGGTTTGGGCCCTGAGCTTAAATCCTGGGGTGCTATTTGTGTGGAGTTTGTCTCATCTCCAGTGTTTGTGTGGGTTCCCTCCAGTTTCCCCCCAGTCTAAAGACAAGCTGGTAGGTTAATTGGCTTCTGGGAAAACTGACCCTAGACTTGGTGTGTGCACGTTTGTGTCCGACGTCACCGGGATGGACTGGCGTCCTGTCCAGGGTGTACCCTGCCTTGTGCCTGTGGCCTGATGGGATAGGCTCTGGCTCCTCTGTGACTCTGTACAGGACAAAGCAATTAGAAAATGGATGGATGTGTGTTTTCCACTGTCCGGGTTCTTGCGAAAGCAAGTTTTCCAGGTCCTTTTACCAGAATAGGAGCCGTCCAGGGCGACGGGTCGCCAGACTGACGTGTTTTCCTGCTGTGCTGTTCTGTGCAGGCGTGCCGTGACTTCCTGGACCTAGCCGAGAGCCACAGCCGGAAATGGCAGCGAGCCCTGCAGTATGAGCGAGAGCAGAGGATCCGCCTGGAGGAGACCATCGAGCAGCTAGCCAAGCAGCACAACAGCCTGGAGAGAGCCTTCCGGGAGGCGCCCACGCTCGCCAACCCCCCCACTGCCCCCAACACTGCCCAGGGTCAGTCTGTCGCCGCGCACGCCCGCCTGTGTCTCCGGCACCCCCTGCGGCACGGAGCTCCCAGCTGAAAATACCGGCCCCTTTCTTCCAGCCACGGGAACGCTCCCAAAGGACGCATACTGTAACACCAGCGCCCTCCTGAGTCACAGTAAAAATCACCTGTTTAAACCCAGTCTGAAAACTGGATGAACCAGAGGAGTTTGTTGTCTATTACTTCAGGCCAGAGAAGGACAGATACTGTACACGAATATCTTTAACCACAGTTTAAAAGCTCTGAATTGTTACAGGTTTAAGGAATTTAATTTTTATCTCTTGTAGCAATATGCTACATAGTTTAGAACATGAAGAAGAGGCCAGAAGGCCGTGTTGAAAGTTTCGCTCTTTAAGACTCACTTTCTAGGGTGGAACGTATTTATAAAGGAAAATAATAAAGGAAGCAGAATCCTTAAGACGCACAAAAGCATGTGAACCGGGCAGTGAACAAAAGAAATCCTATCATTTCATGTTCAGGTTAAACCAGCCTTCACAGGTGCTTTTTTTTTTAAAACAAAATGAGAGTTTCCTCTGTGAGGAATCTTTTCCGAAGTGAGTGAGAGGGAGTCTGTTTGGCCTCAAGCAGGAGCCGGAAGATGCGAGTGAGTGCTCTTCGGTATACAGTACACAGACCCGCGCGATGAGACTGGGCCGCAGGGTGACAGATACCGCTGCTGCTAATGGGTAGACTGCAGGGCATGAGTCACATTAACAGGTTCTGACTCGCCCCTTTCTAGTTACCGTTTCTCGTCGCTGCGAGGGAGAATCGGGGTGTGAAGAAACAGGGAGTGAGCACACCGAACCCTGTGAGCTGCAGTACAGCATCATCACCCGCTTTGTGTGTGCAAGGGCTCGCGTGTTCTCCTCTCCGTGCCGCAGGTTACGTGATGTCAGATGAGACTGGGACAAGGGTCTCGCACCTCATGGCTCTCCAGAGCGTTCGAGCCTCTGGTGGCGCAGGGAGTCTGGCGTCCGTTCGGGAGCTCCGCAGAGCTTGAGAAAACCGTTCGAATCCAGGGCCCCCCTGCGCACCCATTCAGGTCCCCCTGCCAACCCCCAGTACTACAACAGAGTTCAGCCCCAGCGGTGAGGGGATTAAAAAAGGTCACAAGAGAACTGCAGATAAGATCAAGAAGATACAGACGAGAGGGGATCACCTGGCCTGTCTTACTTGTTTTGGTTAAACAAAGTTTTGAGTGATCAGAACGGTGATCAGCCAGTCAGCAATTTCTGACAACTTTGGCCGTGAATCACAAACATTATGTAAGTTTATGAAGATGAAAATGGTAAACCTTAATAATCGGGGAAGGAGCTGCATTCCTTTCCTCCAGCTGCAGCACTGGGAATCTGGGCGTTGCTGTGGCTACAAAAGGCCTGGTACACCACAATAATAAGCAGGCCAAACAGTTGGCTCAGGGGAACACAAGATACACAGCTGCTCTTCGGCACACCACTCGGATCCAACATCTTCCTGAAAGTTTCCTCAGTTCAGTATTAGTTTTTGATTATAAGCAGATTATTTCATAGTTTCCTGTGCTTTACGTAATTATACAACAGTTGATAATATTGTGCAGCAACAGCAGACCAGATATGCACTGATGAGAAGGAAAAACACAAACGCCCAAGAGGAAAGAAGAATCCTCTGGGAGTCCCAGGCCTCATGGTTAACTGTAAACTAGACTGAAACAAGTTTAGGTTTACGAGGAACTGTCTGATTACTGTGTACTGTACTTGTCATGTGTAGTTTCAGAGTCTCCCGCAAGCAAGACATGCGCAACGATAGGACCAGCAGGAGAGAGGTGACCGTGTTGGGTTTCTCTCGGTGTTTCTGTGCGACCGGCTGCGATACAGTGGGTGATTTTCTGCCGGTCTCTCTGGTTCCCCTGCAGGGAGTGTGCGGCCTTTGAAAGGGGAGGCCAGTGACGAAGATGAGGAGACGGAGTACTTTGATGCCATGGAGGACGCACCTGCCTTTATCACAGTGACCGCAGACCACAAGCAGCACAGGTGGGTGTGGCGGGAGAGGAGAGACGGGGGCGTTGTGAAGCTGTCATACAGTTCCACCCTGAAGTGGTAGCGGGCTGATAGAAGGAGCTGGCCGAGGTAAAAACCTTGGGTACTGAACCCACTAAAGATGATTTTTAAAAAGGCATTTGTTACCTCTGGTTTTAAGGGCCTTGATGAAGAAGAGGTTCGCACAGTCGCACAGTGGTTAGCGTTGCTGCCTCGCAGTGCCCCGGGCTCAGTTCACTGGGGGAATTGTCTTGCATGGGCGTCCCACCCAGGGGGTACCCTGCCTTGTGCCCGTTGTTTGCTGGGAAAGACTCTGGCTCCCCTTTGACGCTGAGCTGCATAAAGTGGTTAGAAAATAAATGGAAGGAGAAATGTTATCGTTCTGAAAGTTCACCTTGGTACGTTTACAAGAGTATTTTGGGATGTTGACCATGTTTTACCATTTTTACCAATCTGTGTTTCTGAGATTCAGCATGCCTTTACTGTGCTTTACATTGGACCATCAACCCATCGACCTGATTGGAGTTACAAACCGCAGTCTGCAGTTATAGGCTTTTAGAGGGAACAGGAGGAGATTGAAATTTGCATTTTTACAAGTAGTTCAGACACAATTCTTTCAGTCAGAATGTGTAGCTTCTGTATGATATATTACCCCTCATTGAGTTAACATTTACATAGAAAAATTGAGTATGTGTATTCCCTGCAGAAATAAATTAATTGCAAAAACTGCACTGGAAGAAAAACCATGAATATTAATGCTAGACAAAATTGTATCGCTTTTATTCATTTCTACTGTTTGAATAACACAGCATGTCCTTTTTGATTACTAAAATAGTTGAGAGTAGATGTATTGCATGGGAGCCAAAATGAGATAACCGATAAAAAAATAATTTAAAAATAATTTTAAAATGTGTAAGCAAAACAAATGTACTTCTTGTCTCCTTACAGTGACTTTTATTTGACTTGCAAAATGATAGTTTTCTTTTTTTTTTCATTTTCAATGGCCAGTGGTAGTAGAAATAGTACTTGGCTATTCTGCTTGTGACTGTCATCTGGGGGCATGAAACCATAGTGGCCTGAAAACTGATGGTCTTTTCATTAGGATGGATTCCAGTGCTGAACAAAATCAATCCCATAACACCGAGGTGTTCAGGAGAGTGCAGAGACACGGGTTATTTGGTTTGGTGTAGCTTCATTCAATTTTAATGAACCTTCCTATCAGATGAGCAGTTCTGTATATTCCCGATGGCTGGGGGTGTCTGAAAAGCAGCTGTTTAATTAAACATCGGTGGAATTGCAGTTCATAGACAGAAATTACTCCCGTCGTCTGGCTTTGATACTTCCTTATTAAACCAGAAGCAGCAGCCAGCTGAATGAGAGCAGAGTGTCAAAGTAATAAAAGGAGCAGAAGAGTGAAAGAGTCAACTCCTGCCGATCTTGGCTGTGCTGGTTTGAAGATGGCATCAGAAATCATTTTAAAGGATCTGCATGGCCAATACGTTACATATGGGCACGATGTCAGTGTCTTAGAAAACAACAGGCTTCATTTCTCAGCCTCGTGGATAATTGAGAGAACAGTCTTGGAAGGCAAAGGCAAAACCTTTCTTGGTTTACTTGCCCAGCCTGTGAAACCCGTTGATATAGATGGTTGCTGAACACTGTTTTCTTCAGTTATTGCTCCGACTTGCTCTCCCACAGTGCCAAAGGGGAGCGCTCGCAGCAGGAATGTGTCCCGCAGACCTGTCTGCCCCCGGGGGATCAGTGGTGGGGAGGATAGTAGAAACCCCTCAGGTTCATGTCCGCCCAAACCCTGGTGCCACTCAGCCATTCGCACAGCAGTGTGCTGGAGAGTCCTGCTCAGCATCTGTGAAAGACATCGTTAAGGCCTAAGCCCGAAATAGTTCCTAGTGCTTTTTACAATCAATAGTGCACCAAGATACAGTCACTACTCTTTACAGAACACATTTTGTAACACCTCGTACCTTGGAGAGAATGCAAGGTGCAATAGAAAATGTAGTTCATTAAAGGTCAAGAGTCCTTAGTTTTGTGGTTTTAATGATGAGGTTGTCATAATAAGATGTATAGTACTGCCACTAATAGTGCCTGGCAGTAATATTCTTAAGTCACCCTGCTGTATTACTGGGATGAAAAGAAAAGTTATTGTTCTGTTTTTTCCTGTTTGCCTCTTTGACTCGCTGGTCTAGCTCGCCTGTCTTGTGGGAGCAGCGATGTGTGTGTGTAAGGCAGGAGGACACAGTGAACACCACAGCAGAGAGATCAGAGGGCTCGGCAGGAGGTCAGGGGTGGGGGCTGTGTGGGTCACCAGTGGAGCACAGAGACTGGGGTGCATCCATGACCACCTTCTGATCGCAGGCCAATTCCAGTTCTAGGTTCCCGGGATCCTAACAGGCGCTCTTGATCATCCCAGCTTGAATCCTGTTGTAATACGGCTGTCTTCCCGGGCATCTTGACCACACATGCTATATCAAAACAATTATCGGCCAGAGAGTCGGCAGCAGGCGATTGAGGTGGGATACACGGTATAATTAAACCCTTGGAGCTTTGGCTGTACTTGACATGTCGTAAAGCAGTCCTGAACCAAAGTTTTGTTTTGTTTTCATGAATGCTTTTTGAATTTTTGAATTCAAGTTTTGAATGCTACGCATCCAGCTCTCAGCTCACTTTGCTACCACCACTGTAATAACGGAGTAGGACAGAAACCCCTGGGTGTCGCTTGTCTGCTGGTTTCTTTAGTCTGAGATGAAATGCTGAGCCCACATGGAACACACACTTGCTTGTTTGTAGTCGTTCAAGTGAATTATTCACAAGTTTCTTGCTTTATCTTGAAATCCTGAGCTATACTCTTGTGATGTTTCCCAAAGGCCTTGTCTGAATGATTCATGCTCGAAAGAGGTATCCCCCCAATGGTAGGGCTGTATTGTGGATAGGCACTGCCCTGAACCTCAGCCAGTCACTGCACAGATTGATTTAATTGCAGTCGCCCCTGAGATTACTAGTCCCTGAGTCTACAGACCGACAGCACTGCCGTCTCTGAATCTACAGATGACAGGTACAGGACAGGAACTTAAGCATCAGCAGCCAGTGACTTTTTAAATAACATTGCAGAGATGATTTTTTGGGCTTCAGGTCCACGTTTAGAACAGTAATACCTCTTCCCTAAATCTGGAATCATCTGTGAAGATGATTACTCATTCCATATTTATTTTCTGATTTTTTTGGAAGGCATATCTGTGAATCAGAGCAATGGGAAATGTGCACATGAATCCCAGCCTGCCTTAGCTTCAAGTTCCTTGTCAAGTTTGCTGTAGAAACACACTGTGTCGCATCAGGAGAAACTATTCTGGGCACCAGCTGCTGCTATCAACAGGAGGGAGGAAACTGCAGCATACAGGCACAGTTAGACTGGGTGATGTCCACTCTCACTTCCCTCGGATGAACGTTCTCTCGTCGCACAGCTAATTGAGGAGACCATTGCACCTTACCCCTTACCCTCTGCAGTCAATACGCTGCACTGGTGTCTGGCTGTGTTGGATCTGATCCTTGCTGCCAGAGACGCAGCTTTTTTAAGGGAATTATGGACATTCGTGCACTATAGTCACCCAAACCATAAATCTACCTTTCCTCGACTGTTCTTTTCAGAATCGTGGGGATAGAAATAGAATGGACTATATTTTTCTCTGTGAGCAAAGATCCACATGGTTCTGCATAGACTGCCTGTAATATAACACCTCACTGTCAGAGTCGTAACAATCTCCCCTCTGATTATTGACTAATCACCTCAAAGCCTGATTGTCTCCGCAATTCCTTGTACTGCATACACATGTAAAGCCATGGAAAAAAATGAAAAGAAACATGCAGGAAGTTTCTGATCATTAGTAAACTGAAATGTACAGTAAGTAAAAAAAAAAGTCAAACAAAGATGTCGGTGCCTGGGTATGTTATGAAGGCCATCACTACCAACTTTTTATAAATTCTTCCTGTGCTGCAGAAGGCTTCACATGGGGTTTAACTAGTCTACTGCTGTGAATATGATGGACATCATTCGCTCTGATCCTTCCTCACTTCTGATCCTTCACAATTCCACTTCTCAGCCCTCTGCAAAACTGATCACCGGCAGTGAATACTTTCATTATTCTGCAGTACAGCTCTGTGCTTTATAGGTCAAGCTACGGGCAGCCTGGCCCATGAAGCAGGAGTTCAGCTCCTGGCTGAAACGCGCTGTGTGATCTCTTGCAGACGTTCAGGGAGCAATCTGAGTGGCGCAAGTGGAGGACAGCATAATGACTGGAACCTCGAGGACCAGGTGAGTATCCGAGTGTTTTCAGATTGACCCAAGGCTGTTGGAGCTCCCCAGCCCTGCGTCCGAGCAGTGCGCACCGAGCGAATTCCGAAACAGCGGAAATGTGTTTGATAGCAGTGTGATCTATTTTAGGTTTTACAACCTACAGAAGCAGAACAGCAAGTGTGTTTAGTTTTTTTTTACCTTTATATGTTCAATATATATGTGGGAAGCTCTTCCTGCTTCAAAAGTACTGTGTGTTCTCAGAGGAGTTATGAGATGGTTCCAGTATATCTAATCGTTTTTTTGGCTGGAGTAATCTAATCTTATTTTTTTTTTATTTCTAAACCGTTTTGTTGTGTACCTTTTGAAATATTGACAGGAGATGGCAATACAGCAGATGTATTTTTGGCAGGTAATGGAATTGTAGTCGTATTTTTAGCAGTGAAACTGGACAAGCGGTGCAGAAGCCCGTGAGTCTGAATTTTTGTTTTATGAATTAAATGTGAAAACACATTAAGGGTCTAGAATATCTGGGCAAGTGTGGCTTGAAATATAATGAAATTTACAGAGCAAAGAAAATTTAAGGGATGAGGATCTTGCTGCTCACCCCCAATTCTAATTCCCAAGGATAAATAGAAAAGCACAGGGCTGGTGGGTTTTTAATTGTTGCTGTGCATAGCAGGATGAGCAGAGCAAAGTAAAAGTCAGTACTTGTTTAAACATCATTTGTGGAGCCAATATCACACATTACATGCATGTGTAAACGTAGAGTATAAACACTGTTGGCTAACAATAGGACCCTGAGTTCACTTCGGGGGCCAGATCCCTTCCACCAGAAGCCTGAATTTAAAAACCAAAGAAAGAAGATGGGACATGGACGAGAACAAGCATGAGTTTTTAAAATGAGCCTTGAATGCAGTCTGAGAAGCTGCTGTGGCACTCCGATGATGTTCCAGAAGTTGCAGGTAGAGATCATCAGACAGACGCCTGGTGTTTGTACCTAGGGGTGTAATTCACTTTTCTCTTCAGAAAGGTTATTTTAATATGGAAGGATTACTCCTTCACAAGTGTGTCGCAAAGCAGTGGACTCCTATCGCTTGCTCCAACTGCAAGTATCATCTTGCTATCGGGACAGTTTCTGCTTTGGCAGTTCTTTGATGAAGCAATGCAGCCAGGGCATTGAAAGTGAGGATGGGGGAACAGAGTCCAGGGAAAGCTCTGAGACAAAGAAAAAGGTCAGTGTTTTGAAATTCTGCCCATAACAGTTCTCATGAATCATGACTCAGGTTGCAACATGAACATCTGTCTTGTTAATGCTGCAGCTTGGCGGCTGGAACATGGTGCAGTTGTCGTGATATCTTATCTGCAAACAGAGCCCAGCCCGCAGCTTGTGAAAGAGTGAAGTCAGCGGAATGGGAAGACGGCTTTGGGCTGGCAGAGGATGAAATGTTGAGATGGTTTCACTGGAACAAAACAAACATTGGCTAACAAGATAAACACCTTCTCCAGTTTTCCCAACAGCTGGAGCTCGTGGAGAGCGAGAAGAGAGAGAGAGTAGGAGAGTGAGCCAGTACTCCTCCTTCTGAGAGAGAGAGAGGATAACCAGTACTTCTTCTTTTAGAGAGATGGGGATAACCAGTACTCCTCCTTCTGAGAGAGAGAGGATAACCAGTACTTCTTCTTTTAGAGAGATGGGGATAACCAGTACTCCTCCTTCTGAGAGGGAGAGATGAGAATGACTAGTAGAGCCTGAAGAATTGTGACTAACCTCCCCAGATTTCCCACACAGGATCTGGCCCATGCGAGTAACTGGCCAGTCCACATTCTGGTAGCTGTTGGGCCTTGAGGAACATGAAGTAGTGTATGAGAGACAATGAATCGATTCTCCAGCCTTACAGAGTGAGGCTTTTTCTCAAATGTGCCCCAGCCTCCCATCCCTGCTCCATTCCTAGTACAGGATGTACACTGGGACTCTGGACTGGAGCTCTGTTCGGCGAGCCTGATCTGCGCAGTTTAGTCCAGCTGCGTCAGGAGGACTTGCCCGCTCTCCTTCGGTGTCCTGGACGGTGATGTCGACTCAGCGACACATCAATGACTCGGCAACCTTTCTTTCCCTCTCCTGCCCAGCCGTTAGCCTGCTGAATTCACTCTGAAGAAGGCCTTCAGGCCGAACGTGTCTCCAGAAAACATCTGTTTTCTTAGTGGGCTGTCCCTCTTTAATACCGGTGTGCATGGAAATGGTGATGCTGCTGGTCCCACTTATTTCAAAAGATAAGAGATGGGAATGTGTTGTTCTCTCCCTGTAGGGTCACACCTTGGTGACTGTGTGCGAGGAGCAGGGAGGATCTGTGTGAGGCATGAATGAGTGAAGTATGAGGCATTCATGTAAAAATAAGTACAACCATTAACGATAAAGTTCTTAAAACTGTGTGGAATGCACTTTTATTCAGTCTTTCATTTCGCGCACAGCAGTTCAACCTTCTTTAAAAGCATTAAAAGGAAACCTTGGCAGAGAATTGTGCAGAGGAAACTGGATGAGTGACACTGGAGAAGGATTCAGACTCTCTTTGTCATTGACATGTTTTCTGAGCATTCCTCCTGAGAGTGTTCTCATCAGTCTCAATGTCAGACATCGAATGCTCTCAGCTCACACCAAGAAACTTCTTTTCTTCAGACATAATTTCAATTAGTTTTGTCCTTTCTGCGTTTTTCTAAGCATCCGCTTTCCAGATTCTTCAAGGGACTTGGGGAAAAGGGAATGAAATGACTTTGCATCTGAAATTTACTGTTCACTGCATTGTAAACACAGAGAGGCTGAGAGGCTTCGCAAAGCAGTTAGACTTTGAATCAGATTTCCTCTGTTAAACTGAACGAAAACGTTTCATTTCCAGGGTCCTCAGGGAAACTCGCATCAGGGAGGCCTCGTGGTAGTGTTGGTTTTCCTAACATTTGGTTATTCTACGTGTAGAGACTGAGGGATTCGAATTCGGATATCCCTCTGTCTCATTTCTGTTTTCTGTACATACTCTCTTTTCTGTGCGAATTTTCGGGGGATTTCTGTCATTGCTTCAGAAATCATTTCCGTCTTTGACAGTGATTCCAGAAGAGTTCTCTTGCTAAAAGATTTCTTAAAGCACATTGCCAGAATGAGTGGTAGGAAACAAACTGCCCTCATACCCTGTTCTTGTTCTAGCTATTCCACACATGCAACGCAAGTACAGGATTGTCCTGGAAAAGTCCCCTATCCTTCCTTATGTCTGGATTATTTTTCTTTTCTGAAGCTAAATTCGGATAAAATAATAATAAAGATCGCAGTCTGTATATACCACTTTCATTCAGAAGGATCCCAAAGTGTTTTACAAAGAGGTGGGAACACAGTTCTTCCAAGTCTACAGCCGAGCACCAACCTGGATGATACGCGGCACTCATTCTGTACCAGCAAATTCCAATTCGGAGAGCTTTATTGGCATGAGTGAAATAGATTTGTTACCAACTAGTCTGTACTCATTCTTGTTCTTATTCTGTACTTGTTATTCTTCCTTTTTAAGAATTACTTTGTCTGTCCCTTGTTCGGTCTATAAAAAAAAATGTCTGCAGTATTATTGCTTCATACTGTTCATACATATTGGGAGAAACTCTTAAGGACATTTTCTTGTTAATTTTTTAGTGGTTGTTTCTTTGATCTGTCTGCCTTTTTAAAGCCATAATCTGCATCTGTTTATCTGACTCTGTGGCTTAATTAAGCAGTAGACATCTGTTCTCTTTTGCTAGACTGAGCTTTTCTGATGCATGGCTTCAACAAGATTTTTGATTGGTTATTACATTTCCCTTGGTTTGCAAGCTATTTGATGACTTTATGATGTGGAGAAATTATGGCTGGTGATAACCTTTATTAATTTTTTCACAGTGAAGTGCACAGTAGCGTAAAAATAAAAATAAAATTTGGTAACTGTGTGTGATAAAATACAGTCAAAGATGAGTTAGATGTAGAACATCTTGCTTGTGTCTGTGTTGAAGGAATCTATGTCTTTTAGGAGTTAACTCTTAAGCTCTCGAGAACTGCTTTTCTGTTCTGTGCATTCCCAACTGGTTTCTTCAAGGTCTCTCGATTGGAGGTGTATCTCAGGTTTCCTGCGCTTGATTCAGCAACATGACAGGGAACAGGGATAATTACCTAATAAAGTGTCTTGGTTAATTGCCCAAGGCTGACCTAACCACCTAACTTTCTAACTTTGTTAACACCTTATATGGAAGCAAATTATTACTGACCAATCAAAAAAATATATGTTTTTGTATTGAAATTTTGCTCATCTCATCTTCAAGAAAAAAAAGTCTATTGCTGTCCTAAGAGAGGCAAGCTGCTTGCTCCATCTGTCCACCTTTCTTTATTGGAATAAGAACGCTGCAGCGTGGTTTTCTGGAGTCTTGTGGCTTAATGAGAAAAGGGTCTATCAGCAACGAAAAAAGGGTCCAGGCATTTACAAATAGCTGTATTGTCTCCAAATTAAAGGCTTTGCTTTGAGTTCAGTAAATCACCTCAATAGACTATTAAAGGCATAATAAAATGTTAAATGGAATGAGTTAGAGGGGATTTCAGTATCTCAGTTTGTTCAAACACTGTTGGGTGCCGTGCCAAAATTGAAGTGGAAGGTAACAAATATTTCCTCACAGCAGGAAGTACAGTATGTGTGTGTTTTTGAATCGTATTCCAGGTTTTTAGCGCGTCCTCGTGTCTGTCTGCCGCAGGGGTTCGACAGTCAGCACCAGGCCAGCTGCAACGACTCTGCTGGGAGTGAGATCCAGCTGCACAAGAAGAGGCGGTCCCGCATCCCGGACAAGCCCAACTACAGCCTCAACCTGTGGAGCATCATGAAGAACTGCATCGGCAAGGAGCTGTCCAAGATCCCCATGCCTGTGCGCCACCTCTTCTGAACCGTTTGAAAGCAGCGCTCTTTCCCCTCCCCTCACCCGCCGCGCCCCGGATAGCGCAGGTCTCGCCCCTCGGCCTCGCTCAGGGGAGACCGAGACACCGAGGCGTGCTCCCCACGACACGCCCAGCTGCAGAAGCATTCATCATTTGAGCGAGACGGCCCTCTGAGTCTGTAGGCTCCTGGAGAGTCGCTCCCCTGCTGGGCGTCTCACCCAGGCTGGCCGCTTGGAGAATCCCAGTGCAGTTGTCTGGGCATATG